GTGATTTTTCAACATGAGCTTGCATCTTCTAAACATGCTCACCTGGGAACATCACCTGGGAGACTGGTGAAAACACATTCTTGGGCCCCACTTCTAGCATTTCTAATTCAGTAGGTATAGGGTAGGGCCCAAAAATCTGCATTCCTAACATGTTCCCAGGTGATACTGGTGCCACCAGTCCAAGGACCACATTTTGAGAACCGGTTTTACCAATGACTGTCAGCTTGTGCTGTGATACTGCTCTGGAGAAGGGGCTGGCAACTTTTTCTGTAAAGGGCAAGGACAGTAAATATTTTCAGTGAAATGGGCCGGATAATCTCTGTCACCGTTACTCACAGTTACTCAATTCTGCCTCTGTAGTGCAGGAAGCAGCCAAGGGCAATATGTAGACAAATATGCAGGACTGTGTTTCAATAAAACTTTATTTATAAAAACAGGAGGTGGGCTAGATCCCGGCTTATGTGAATAATGTTTTTGTGGCAGAAATTAATAAGCACCAGTGCTGTTGTTACTGAACCAAATTTGGGTCTGCTTTCCCACGTGCGGGCGAGCCAATTTACTTACACTGGGTTCTGGTGAAGGAAAGGGCAGTGTTTACTGCAGGGAACCAAGCAAGGAGTCCCGGGCAGCTAGTCTTTTAAAGACCCAAATTCCCTGAAGGCTTTTAGGGGGAGGTTTTTAAAGACAGGATAAGGGAGGGGGCTTCTGGGGGTGTGTGATCAGCTCGTGGACATGCTTCTGATTGGTTGGTGGTGAGGTCATCAGGAGTCGATGTCATCAGCCTTCTGGTTCCAACTGGACTGGGGCTACGTGCTTGTGGGCGGTATACAGTTAACTTCTTCCACCTGGTGGGGGTTTCGGTATCTGCAAAACAGCGCAAAGGACATGGCTCAGAGTATTATCTATAGCCCCTGAGGAAGGACTAAAAGTCCTTGAATTTGTTTAACAGCTAAACTATTATTATTTTGTACTGCTTGACTATTTTTGGAGAAGGCAATGGCACCCCACTCCAGTACTCTTGCCTGGAAAATCCCATGGACGGAGGAGCCTGGTAGGCTGCAGTCCATGGGGTTGTAAAGAATCGGACACGACTGAGCGACTTGACTTTCTTTGACTCTTTTCCTTTCTTTCTGTATTTCTCACCTCTCTGAGTAACTGTACTCTTTGGACCTCAGGGAAACCCAGGAGGCCACAGTTTTTCTACAGACAAGAGGCAGGCAGAGGACCTAGATCAAGGGCTCTTCTGGGAAGTCCCCATAGGATCCTGCTCCGCTACACTTTCTGTCAAGACATGCAAATATAAATAACTCAAATGCAACTAAAAAACTAAGTATTTTTCAAGTGGAACCTCACGACTCAACAACTTTGTTCTACAAAAACATGCATTATCCAATAATACTGCTGCACCCCAAAGCGGGACTTTACAAAGGACCTTACAGGTGTCAGTGTTGCTGAGTTCAAGCTTGTAATATTTGCTGCAGGACAGGCCAAAAAATCCAGAGACAAGTTGCTGGAGTAAGGAACAGCAACTTTATCCAGAAAGCCAGCAAGATGGAGAAGATGGTAGCGTCCCAAAACACCAGCTTGCCCTCAGTTAGAATTCTGGCTTCTTTTATACTAAAAGGGGAGGGGGTAATTTCAAACATTTTGTGGTTCTGGTCAAACTCCTGAGGGGGTATACTAATTTCTTCTTTCCTGCAGCCATTCACAGGTGATGCTAAACAAAGGTATTTTAGCATAACACTCATCTGGGAGGCAGGTTTCCCAGAAATGGGCCATTATGTATAATTTAAGCTTATAGGCAACATCCCTTTAGTATTAACCTGTAATAGAATGCAAAGATTCTTCGCTATTACAGTAGTTTGCTGACCCCTGCTTGAGTGCAGCACTGTCTAATAGAACTTTTTGCTAAAAGCAACCATAGGCAGTACACAAATGAATAATAAGCACGGCTGTGTTCCAATAAAACTTTATTTAAAAAGAAAGCAGGCAGTGGGCCAGGTTTGGCCCACAGGCTGTAGTTTGAGCAGTGCTAATAGATTTTTCTGTGTTAATGAAAATGGTCTATATCTGTGCTGCCCAATATGGCAGCCACTAACCACATAAAGCCCCTGAGCACTTGAAATGTGGTTAGTGTGACTAAAGACTCAGTTTCTAAATTCTGTATTTAAATGACTAGAGGTACCCTGCCCAACAGCAAGGAGAGAGAAGGCTCCAGTGGAGGGCCGCTCCTCAGCTGCCTCCCTACACAGGGTGAAGCCTCTTTGAGTTTCCTTGTGGATAAGAAGGGGATAAAACAGTAGCTACATCACCAGGCTTTCCCCATGGGTAAGTAAGGCATCCTGGCCCAAGGTGTCTTCCCCCTGGTCCTTTGATCCCCACTGTAGAGCTGACCATCACTGGGGGCAGAGGGAGGGGCTGGGGAGATGGAGGTCTCCTCTGGATCTTTGTTTGATCTTTACCACTAGACTGCAAGCTCCAGGAAGGCAAAAACCAAGTCTACTGTACAAGCTGCAAACCCACAGTCCTGCCACGGCACATGGCAGTCAGCCAGCTCCCTTGTTGAAAGAATATGTATTTCAGGCTGCCCCTCAAACTATGCTTGAGGGATCTGCAGCTAAAGTGTCTGAATACTCCTATCTTGGCCCCCCCGGAGCTGAAAGGGAAGTCACTGTGTAGACAGGGACACCAGGGCTGAGAGAGGGCTTGCCCACAGTCCCCCAGGATTAAGGAGAAGGGGCCACCTTCTTGAATGGAATTGAAAGGGGGTAGGGGGCCCTCTGAAGCCATCACAAAGCTCACCCCAGACCCTGGCCTCCTTGCTTCAGCACTGACACTGAAACTGGACCTGAGCCAGGAGTGAACATGTGGTCAAGATCCCCCAGCTCCCTGGGCTGATGGGGGCAGATGGGAAAGCAGCCCCTCCTTTCCATTCAGCACTGAAGTTCCTGCAAAGGAGGGTGGGAGATGATGCTGTCACTCTCCACGAAGTCCCTTCTCTGAGAAGCCAGTCATCTGTGGCCCTGAGCCACCCCTCCCCTCAACCTCCCATCAGCCAGCAGCCCTGTCTTACGTGTCCAGGTGCCATTTGAGAACTCAGGCTTGTGGAAAAGACCCAGGAGACAAACCACACCCCCACCGTGTGAAAAGCATCGCCCCAGCGGCTGTCTCAGGGGGCCTTGGCAACTGGCCGTGGGCAGGAAGTGCCTCTTGGCTAGAGAAGTCATTTAAGGAGCTATTCGGGGAGGTGATACAGGGAAGGGCCTTCCAGGAAGAGGGAACGGCAGGTGCAAAGGCACGGTGGTGGGACCAGAGTCAGAGTCTTACTGGGTGGTGGGTTTGGCTCCTGAAGAAATAGAGGGATCAATTTCCAGGCAGAGGGTGACAAGCAAAACACAGAGAGCCCTGGCTTCAACAGGGGCAGGGACAGTCCAGTGACAAGGGCAGGTGATGGTCCTACTCGCCAGCTTGGTTACCTTGGGAGTGGAGTTTTTTTGTTTTTTGTTTTTTTTTAATATTTATTTGACTGTGCCAGGTCTTAGTTGCACCATGCAGGATCTAGTTCCCTGACCAGGGATCGAATCCAGGCCCCCTGCATTGGGAAAGCAGTCTTACCCACTGAACCATCAGGGAAGTCCCTGGAGTGGAGCTTTATTTTGGGGCCACGTGAACACCACTCAGCGGGTTAGGGCAGCAATATAGCACCTTTAGAGTGTGGATATGGGAGGGCTTGTGCTCTGAAGACACTATTGAGGAATGCGTTTTGTGCTTTTCCAGAAAGTTTGAGAGAGGGCATGAAGTGGAGCCAAAGGGAGCAAGGACAAGTTATAAGAAATCAGAAGCTCCCTAGTGGCTTAGAAATCTCCTGCTTCCCGGGTCAGGTCCTGGGATCAGCCATGTCCAGAGTCACAGTCATGGGCTAGGGTCAGGCCTTGCTAACAACTCCTCTGCCTGAGAGAAACCTTGGATGAGGGTTTGACGGACGCTGTAGTCAGCTGTGTAGCTCTGAGTAGAAGGGATCTTCCCAACCCAGCTGTCCTGAGAGCCAGTCACCTCTGTGCTCCTAGGCACATGGTTTAGTGCCCTGTTGAAATCTGTAGAATTATTAAGAGTCTCTGAGGTAGCTGGTCCACTCCCGGGCCTCCTCATAGATGAGCACTGGCTAATCCACAACCTAGTCTAAGTCCTTTACCGTTTGAAGGTGGTGGGGGAGCCAGACAGGAGTGGGAGAATTAGCCTGAGATTACAAGTGCAGTGTGTGTGTGGGGGCAGTTAATGGGTCTCCATTCAAGGCAAGTGTCCCACTGCATCTAGTGGGAACTGGGGTACAGGGGGGAGAGACTGTGTTCTCTGCCATAGCAACTCAATCCAGAGCCCCCGTAGCCATGCCTGACTTGTATTTCTCCCCAACAGTCTGTCCAATCCCATCCTTGGAATCCCAACAAGATGAGGCAGGGATGGGGTGGGGTGTAGGGGGCTGTCAGGTTTACAGAGTGTGAATCCCTTGAGCTTTGCCCAGAGACCCTTCTCCTGGCTTTTACAACCCAAGCCCCTAGCCAGGACCAAGCAGCACTTGGTGTCTTCCATGAGATCTCCTGATCCCAGGAGGGCAGAGTTGCTGCCTGTGGGCTGCAAGGGAGAGCCCGGACTCTGATCGATGGCTTGATGGCTTTTAGGCTTTCAGCCTCAACCGGGTCTTTGTTCAGACCGGGAAGAAACAGGAAAAAGCTACAGGGTTCAGTCTCCGGAAAAAGGGGAAGGGCGAAGGCAGCAAGAGGCTGGGATGCCTCACGGCCAGTCTTCGCCCCCCTCCCAAGTTGGGGGTGGCGACAAGAGGGAGGTGTGGGTGAATAAGAGGGGTACCTGGGAGGCTGATGAGGTGGGTGGGGGACGACTGCGGTGCACCGATGCACCCAGAAGTGTGTGTGTGTGTGTGTGTGTGTGTGTGTGTGTATCTATATGTGTACTGGTGGTGCGGTGACGACTCTTATATGGAATTCTCATCTTAGGGCGTGCCAGAGACCCTCGTTAGTGGACACCTGCTTCTGTTCAGGGCAGAGGCCCCTCCTATCACCCCCATTCACCTGGCTCCACATCCCGAGTCCAAACGGCTGCCTCCGCCTTCCCCCCTTTCGCACCCGTCCCCCACTCACCTGTTCGCCCACTCCGAGTTCAAACGGCAGCTCCCTCTCTCCCTCCCAGCCACCGCCCGCCGATACCTGCGCCCCAGCCCGGCAGACAGTGCACGCGGCGGCTCGGCTCCGGGCGAAGAGGCGAGGACCCCGCGGGGAGCATGGGTGCGGGGGCGCTGCGTGTAGGCGCGTGACTGTGCGAGCTAGCGGCCCCGAGCCGGCTGGCCGGGCTAGGGTGCGCGGGGAGCCCGCGTGGGCCAGGCGCGGGCGTGTGCGAGGCGCGGGCGTGCGCGCGAGGGTGTGTGCGCGGCCGAGGCGGAGCGCCGGGCGGGCGGGCGGCGGCGGCGGCGGCGGCGGCGGCGTTAGGACTCCGGGGACACCGCCCCCCGCCCCGCGTCCCGCCCCCGCCCAGCCTCCCGCCTCAGTTCGCGCCGCGCCTCGGCTTCGAGCGCAGCGGCGCCGGCTCCCGGAGCCCAGCGGCGCGCACCCCTGCGGCCGCGCCGGCAATGCGGGGCCACCCCACGCCCGCCCCAGTCCCGGCCCCAGCCCCCGCGGGAAGGGGCTGAGCCGCTGCCGCCCGGATGGCGAACCTCGCCGCGCTCGCCTTCAGCCTGCTCCTGCGGCTGCAGCTGCAGCCGCTGCCCGGCGCCCGGGCGCAGAGCGCCGCAGGTGAGTGCGCCCCCGATCCCCGCTCCCTCCTCGGCGCATCCCGGCGTCCGCCGCTGGGTCCCGGGCGGAGAAAGTTGTGCAGGCTCGAGGGGTTTGCCGGAGCCCGGGTCCCCGCCTGCAGCCGCGGGCTGCCTCGTCCAGGCGCGCCCGGGCCAGCGTGCCCGGCCCTCGGCGTCCCTCGGCCCGCCGCGTTCGGTCAAGTGCTCCGCTTTACTTTCCTGCCGGTCCCCGGGCTCGAGTAACTTTCTGCGGCTGCGGAGAATATTTCCGCTCGCCGCCTCCCACTTGTCGGAATCTGTCACTCGAGTGTTTGGGGCGGCGAGATGAGAAGCGGCATCGACGCCCGGGGTGGTGGTGGGGGGAGCGTCCTCTCTCCGCAGCTTCCAGGGCAGCGCGCGCTTTTCGTGGGGAGGACTGGTCGCCAGCAGGCCGAGGCTGCCAGGGAGGTGGCTTTTCTTTTCACCCGGGAGATCCAGGCGGCTCCAGACTTGCTCTAACCATGCTGCGCCCCTGAGCTTGTCCTTACGCCGCTGGAAACACCGCGGGGGTGTTCGTGTTCTAGACTGAGACGGCGAGCCCTCCTTCCTACCCCGTGGTTTTCATCCCAAGTAAACGGGCGCCCCTGTGAAGGCCCTTTCGGTGTCGCGGCTTTGACCTGTGAGCGTGTCTGCTCCAGAAAAGTTTGGGGGACTCGTATTTAGGCTTGACCGTGGGAAGGAGGCGAGTAGACGTAGTTCCCCTAGTGTGTGTGGGATCACCCTGGAGGCCTCCTAGTGGCAAGTTGGCCTGTACCGGAGGCCAGCAGGACCCGGGGTGGGTGGGGTCTTACACATCCCAGACCCCACTGGAGGCAGCTTCCAGCCCTGAGCCCCCCAAAGGGTAGGCGGTGGGGGAAGGAGAGAAGGGTGGAAGTGGTGCAGGTATGCTTCCAAGTTCGGAATCATTTTGAAGTTTCTTAGCACCAATTAGCTCAGGTGTGACCACGCAGAGGGGAGATTGCTGGGATCACAGGGGCAGGCAGAGATGAGCAGGTGGGACTTAGGATAAGATGCGTTTTGAATTGATGACTAGCCGCGGTGCCCATCTATTATCACGCTGAAAGCGAAGAGAAAGAGAAAGAAACCGTGGGCAGTGTAATCTCCTTAAATAGGCTGCTTCCGAGGCTAAGAGCCGCTGGAGTGACCTTCCCTGGGAAATGCACTGGGGTCTTCCTTACTCCAAAGTGAAAACTGAATATGGGACTTATGCGAAGGGGGACAGCCTGCTTCGTGGCTGGGAAGTTAGGTGACTAGGACACTTCTTTTGAGGTGTGTGGAGCTGAAAGGTTGGCTTAGACAGTAAGAGAGGAGGGACAGCCACACATCATTCTGAAGATGGTGCACAATTCTGTTTTCCTCGTTTCAGATCTGTGGTAGGTGTGCTAGGGCAGGGAAGGAAGGAGGGTGCTTGGGGGCATTCCTGGGCACCCAAGCATCACTCATGACTTACATTTCCCTATCCTCCAGGGCCTGGGCGGCCTGCCACCCGCGAGTGATACTCACGTTCCCTCCGCGAGAATCAGTATCAGAAATATTCCTCCACGGGTCTCGCAGCGTTCTTGGGCAGCGTGCGGTAAAAACCGTCCGGGCTTGGGAAGCTGCCGGATGCTGGAAGCACGCCGGTTCCGGATGCTCCCGCCAGGTGGCGCTCGCCCACAACTGTTAAAATGCAAATCTGGTTGCTTTCATCTCCGGAATAGAACTTCTTTTCAATTTTTAAATGAGTAATGTGTTTATTCAGCAGCCTTTTGTTAAAACATTTAGAGAAGTGTGAGGAGCGAGCACCTTTTCTTTGTTTGCTCTTCGGAACACTGGGGAAAGGAAAGCAATCCTGGAGTGCAGTTTGGGAAGAAATCTGCTGTTAGGGAACCATGTTTCTTTTGATTTTTCCTGAGCAGAGTGGCTTCTCTGCAGACCCCGTGAAGCATATACTTAGCAAGTGGCTGCGTTTGTTCCAAGGACTCCTTAAACGAGAGGGGATTAGCTTGTGTTGGCGATTTGATGCATTCTGAGCCTCACTCATTTGTAAAAATGGGAATTTTCCGTGGTATCTCCTCTCTCTCGTTTAATGCTAACTAGACCATTTAAGTTAATTATTTTTCCCAAGTTTCTAACAGCTGCACTTGTAGATGCAGGAATGCTGCGAATGCTGACTTTTAAAAACGGACTTATCTTCATACTTTATTTCTAAATGGAGACATTTTGATAACCAAATCTAGTATAAATGTGACTCAGTTTGATTTCTTCGAAAGAATCTGATTTAAAACTTTTGGCAAGTTTGGGTAAATAATATGTTTAAAAACTCAGTGGTGTGCTTTCCATAGTCTTTTTGTCTGGAAATTCCCAGTCTCAAAAGCAATTTCAGTTTGTAAGCTTACATCCAAGTACACAGTTGGGGTGATATGTTTTGCTGTAACATGTTGGTCACGGTGTCCAAAAGTCAGTGGTGAAAGCTTGTCATCAAAAGGCAATTTCCTTCTTCTTTCTTGTGAGATGTGTTTTATGAGCCAGGATGATTTTTGTAAGGAATGATGGTTAAAAAAAAAAAAAAAAGAAAAGCATTTAAAATCAGCCTCTGAAAAGTGTGGCAAAAACATGGTTTGGGATGAGGAAAGAAGGAGACAGTTAAACAAATGGATGAGGGAATCATTCATTTATGTACTAGTGGGTTTTGGCATCTGTACATTGAGAGCAAAAACGGATCTGAGACGGACTAACTTGTGATGGCAGTTGTTAGCGATGTAGTCATTTAACTTGATAATCGTTACCTCTGGGGAACTGTTAGCAGTACAGTCAAATTCGACTTTCTCTCCTGGATTGCTTGATTTGTTTCCTAATAAAAGAACAATTAATGTGCAAACCTGGCTTGGATTCTGTTTCAGCAACAATCGCAAGCATGTTCGTGGCGAAAGCAGACCACTGTCTTGGGTTGCAACCCACTGCCTTTCTCCTCTCCTCTTCTTGCTTAGCCCCAGCGCGGCTCCTGCAGGCTCCAGACTGCCAGCTGAGACGGCGCCCTCGGTAGTAGTGTAACTGTCACCTTTCAGAGCCACGATCACAGGACATTACAGCATCATTCTTTTGAACACGGGATACTCCCATGACACTCTGACAGTGTGTTGCTGTGGAAACAAGAGCAGTGCCATATAGGTGGTGGGTCCCTGATACATATTTATTTATGGTAATGAAGAGATGGTAGAATCTCATGGCAACTATGGTGTGTGTGGGGGGGAAGTTTAACTCAGCAGGCAGCCTGATTGAGCAAAAAAAAAAAAAAAAGAGTATGAGCTTTGGAGTCTTAAGTCCTCAGTTTGAATTCTGCTCTTGCCTCTTTCTAGCTGTGCCAGCGTGGGCAAGTCATTTATTTACTCCTCGAATCCCCAGCTCCTCATCTGTCGGGTGAGAATGAATATAGCTACCTTGCTGGATTTTTGTCAAGACTAGATAAGATGATACACGCAGAGTGAGTGCATTGTACAGCTTCGTCCTGAAGGGGCGCTTTTTCTCGTATTTGCCCTGGCATTGGTGTATGTACGCAGGCCAAGGGGACACGGGTGTTAAGCTCAGTTATGAATTGAAAATTAGCCGAGTTTTGGTGATGATTTTTAGTTCTTCTCCTTTGTTTTTTTTGGCGGGGGAAGTTCTTGATTCTCTGCAGCCACTTTTAGAAAGATTTGGAATGAAACAGGTGTTACTAATACATTTGGCCATTCAAAGATCGGCTTGTTTGTGTCCAAGCACACATCCTGTAAATGAGAACAGATAGAAAACCAAGCAGTTGCATGATGTAACAGGCAAGCGACTGCCTATGTCTTCTCTCCCTTCCTACCACCCCCCTCACACTGTCTTCCGTGCCTTTGGGCTCTGCCTCCTGCTCTGTTTCTATCTCTTACCTAACCTAGAAATCAAGTGCTTGGCACTCTGGGGCAGTGGGGAGAAAGATGCTTTGTGCACTTGACAAATAAGCAAAGACTAAGTAAACACATGGAGGGCTGTGGCATTCCAAGAAATAAAAAGCTATGAGATTATTGAAAACAAACCATGCCTGACAGGTGTAACAGCATTTGCAGGCACATTACAGAATTGGGGCTAGGAGGCAGTACCCATGTAGATATTAGAAAGCAGTTAGAGTGTCTTGTGAAATCTTATAAAGTGGATTCAAATTGGTTTGGAGAGGAAGAACGCCGCAGGTTTTTTATGGATTAAGAGCAATCAGAGGCAGCCAAAGAGATGGGGGATCCCTGGTGGTGTGTGCAGGTGGGACAGGGTGACCAGTGGGGGTGATGGCCTTCAGCATCGGAGGTGGCCTTGCTGGACACTCTTGAGTTGCCTGGAAGAGGGAGAAATGACCATGATAATAATTATTTATTGTCTATCAGTAAGAGTTACAGGTGCTAAAAAAGATAGAGGGGTGTAGTGAGGATGTAAGGCATAGATCCCAAGAGATCTGCCAAAAATCAGCTGTGAAAAATGGGAATTAATGTGTCAAAAAGGCAGAGTGTGAAAAGGTGAGGAGAAATGGTGAGCCTTCTGGCTGGTTTTATTTCAAAATGTCAACACTATTTCCCTTGGAGTATCCTAGGTATTATTATTTACCCAGGTGAAGGCTGCTCCAAAGTCCCAACCAGATCTACCATCAATGGGTGACTGATCCGTGGAAGCGAGTCCACAGCGTTAGACTTAATTTTTCACCCTGGAGTCAAACTGCTGAAGTCTGTCTGACACACATACACTCATTCACTGGTACATAAGGGGGAAGAGTTAGAAAGTATTTCCAATTTCTTGAATATTCAGCTTACAATTTTCATTTCAGGCTGGATGGGGGGTGGTTGGTAAAAAAAAATGGTGACGCCACTTCAGTAAGCAGTTTGGCAGTTTCTTTGAAAAGTTAAACATACACGTGCCATAGGATCCAGCCATTCCACTTCTAGGAATGTACCCAACAGAGATGAAAACATATGTCAACACAGACACGTACGCGAATGTTTGTAGCAGCGTTCTTCATGGTCGCCAAAATCTGGGAACATTCCAGTTGTCCCTCAACTGGTGAATCCATCCAGTGGATTACTACTAGCAAGAAAAAGGAATCAGCTGTTGATGCTAGGCTGTAGCATTGGATGAACCTCAGAAAACATTACATTGAACAAAAGAAGCCAGACGCAAAAGATTACATATTACATTAAATATTCAGAGAAGACAGCTCTGTGGAGACAGAAGGCAGAACAGTAGTTGCCCGGGGCTGGGCATGGGAGCAGGGATTTGTAGCCAGTGGGCATGAGAGAATGTTTTAGAGTAATGGAAAGATTTGAAAACTGGAGGTGGTGATGGTTGAGTAACTCTCTAAATCCCAGCTCCTGGCTTGTGATATGAACTTCGTAAGTTACTTCACTGTTCTGAACCTTTATCTCTGCATCTGTGAGTGGGGCACACTAGTGCCCTAGTGCTTCAAGAGCCAAAGTAATTCCTGTTTATTGTCAAGCTCGGTTCCTGGCATGAAACGGGCACCCAGTAAACAGCATCACTCTTACTTATGCCTTTCATGTGTGCGTGCATGCTAACTCGCTTCAGTTGTGCCTGACCCTTTGAGACCTTATGGGCTGTAGCCCGCCAGGCTCCTCTGTCCTTGGGATTCTCCAGGCAAGAATACTGGAGTGGGTTGCCATGCCCTCCTCCAGGGGATCTTCCTGATCCAGGGATTGAACCCATGTCTCCTGAATTGGCAGGCAGGTTCTTTACCACTAGTGCCACCTAGGAAGCCTTGCCAGTCTCCAAAATAGTTTGTTGCACTCGTTTTCTACAAGCCTTTATTTGTGGTGGTTCCCTCCACCCCCTTTAGGCTCTTTTGGCTGTGAATTAATAAATCAATGAGCTAGCTTTTCCTTCTCATCAGTTTGGCAAAAATGAAAAAGTTTAAGACTATCAAGTTTTGACAAGGATCTGAGCAATTAGGTGGCTTTGTTCATTGTTGAGTAGTGAATATTGAAATAGCTTTTCTGAGTGCTCATTTGGCAATGTCTGTTAAATTTGAGAATGTGAATGTTTTCTGCCTGGAGTGTTGCGGTAGGCTTTGGATTGGTGGTGGAAGGGGAAGGAATAGACCATTCATCCATTGTCTTTCTCATTAAGCCAAGGATGTAGAAATTGGGAAGCCCCCTGCTCGGGGGCAGATACATGTTTTTGGCTTCTTAGTCTCCTAACAGGATGAACAGCTTTTAGGGGTGAGGAAAAAAGTTCCATCCTTGCATTTTTCTGTCTTTTGGGGGTTTCTGTCAACACCCCAGAAGAATGTGTCCCCGGCCATCCCTGTGCTGCTCTTCAGATGTTTATTAACCTCAAACGTTCTGGGCATCACAACCGCATCCAGGGGAATGTCACCCACATTCCCAGCTCCAGCTTCCCAAGATCCTGGAAATCCTGTTCCTCTCAGATCACCCCGACTTTGCTTTACTCCTGTTTATCCCAGTGGTTCCAACGCCAGTCATGAGATGACAAGCCTGTTTGTTCTGGTCCTTTTGTAAATCACGGTGGATGGTTATTATTCATCTGCTTAAGGGTCGTGTATTTGTCTCTTTGGAACCAAGCATGAATTCATGGATTCAACTTCAGCAAGAAGAATGTTTTAAAGACTGCTTAAGGGTTTGATCCTCAGGAACGGGTGGCCTTGGATGGTCTGGATTTGCTTTAATGGACTATAATTATGCCTTTCTCCCCTGCTCAATTGGCCACAAGTAGGTCAACGACAGCCTCTTTAAACCAGTTCCTTTTTTTTTTCCATTTTCAGACATCTTTGACAGCCATCCTGACTTTTCTGTGACAACAAGGAACTTCAGGCTTACCTCCAGGTTTTCTGTTTCAAACATCCAGTCAGTTATTTCTTACAAAGAGACCTGGTTCCGTTTTGTGGAGATGTCATAACCTGAGCTGCCCATTGTAGTGTTTTATTTGTATACTGGAAGAGAACTGAATAAAACAAGAGCTGTTGGTAATGTTAGGGAGAGAAAAAGAAAGACATTAAAAAAATTAATTTATTTATTTTAATTGGAGGCTAATTACAGTATTGCAGTGTTTTTTGCCATGCATTGACATGACTCAGCCATGGGTGTACATGTGTCCCCCATCCTGAACCCCCATCCCATCCCTCAGGGTCGTCCCAGTGCACTGGCCCTGAGCGCCCTGTCTCATGCATCGACCCTGGACTGGTCTGTTTCACATATGGTAATATAAAAAAATGTCTGAATGCTGTTCTCTCAAATCATCCCACCCTCACCTTCTCCACAGAGTCCAGTTCTTTACATCTGTGTCTCTTTTGCTGTCTCACATATCGGGTCATTGTTACCATTTAAGAAAGACATTTTTAAACAGCGTGTCCCTATGACCATTTATCTCTTTGGGTTTTTTAAAAAGTTGATTTGATCATGCAAATATATTAATTAAAAAATAATTTTGGCATTGTCGTAGCATGTGCTTGCCTGTGAGTATAGCCTCGATGTTGATGCCACCATTTCCTCTTTTCTTAAGCATGTTGGAATTAGCCCTTAAGTGCATGGGCCCAGGTGCTCACTGTCAGTGTTTTTTGGGCACCAACTTTCTTTTTTGCAATTTTTTCTTTTTTTAATTAATTATTTTTTTCCATTTATTTTTATTAGTTGGAGGCTAATTACTTTACAGTATTGTAGTGGTTTTTGCCATACATTGACATGAATCAGCCACGGATTTACATGTGTTCCCCATCCTGATCCCCCCTCACACCTCCCTCTCTATCCCATCCCTCTGGGTCTTCCCAGTGCACCAGCCCTGAGCACTTGTCTCATGCATCCAACCTGGGCTGGTGATCTGTTTCACCCTTGATAGTATACTTGTTTTAATGCTGTTCTGTCTGAACATCCCACCCTCACCTTCTCCTACAGAGTCTAAAAGTCTGTTCTGTACATCTGTGTCTCTTGTTCTGTCCTGCATATAGGGTTATCGTTACCATCTTTTAAAATTCCATATATATGCGTTAGTATACTGTATTGGTCTTTATCTTTCTGGCTTACTTCACTCTGTATAATGGGCTCCAGTATCATCCATCTCATTAGAACTGATTCAAATGAATTCTTTTTAATGGCTGAGTAATATTCTATGGTGTATATGTACCAAGCTTCCTTATCCATTCGTCTGCTGATGGGCATAGGTTGCTTCCATGTCCTGGCTATTATAAACAGGAGCACCAACTTTCTAAAAGGAAAAACAGAAATGCAGTCTCACCCTAAGGCAGCTTGGTGAGTTGTCTGTTGCTGTGTAATCAGTTATCCCTCAAGACTTTGTGACTTTATCTTCTTACCATTTCTCTGAATCAGGACGCTGGATGGCACAGCTGGGCACTCTGGGTCTCTCCCAAGCTGCAGTCCGGATAGTGGCTAGGGCTGTTATCACCTGGGCTCAAATGGGGAAGGGTCTGCTCCTGAGATCACTCATAGGGTTGTTCAGAGGATTCAGTTACTCATGACTCTTGGACTTGGGGGCCTCAGTTCCCCATGAGCTGGAGGGAGGCCATCTGGGTTCCTTGCTACATGACTTCTCCATCATAGCGTGGTACCTGGCTTCGCCAGAGCGGGATGTTGAGGGGGTCGGGGAGAGTAAGAGCAAGCTGGAAGTCAGTCTTTGCAACCTCATTTCCGAAGTGACATCCCATCACTCTTGCCATGTTCAAGTTAAGTCGCTGGGTTCAGCTCATCCTCAAAGGGAGGGAACACCTAAGGTCTTGACTCCCAGCAATGGAAGATTTTTCAGAACCGTGTTAGGAGCTCAGCCTCAGGAACCTCAAATAAATGACCCATGGTATAGGAAATTTCAGGTCTTGGAGAAAAATACAAACATCACTTTTAAAGTGTGTTCACATCTTTTCATTCTTTTTATTATTTTGGGCACCAGTGTCAGTTCAGTGTCAAGATTTTACTCTCTAAAGGACTTTGAGTAAAGAGACTTATTGTTTCACAATTGACTTAAAAAAATTCTGAAAGTCAGAAGGTGAAAAATGAATTAATATGAAGATTCATCAGAAAAATTTATAAACCTTACCCTAAAAGTTGAAGTACTGTGTTTTTGTAAGACTATAAAATGATCACACTAGTATGTAAGCTCCACAAGACCCAGTTAATAGGAAACAGTAGGTTAGGGTATTAATAAAATTTAGCTGAAATTTGTTAGTTTTATTGCCTACAGATACCTAGGAAAAAATTTAGTACTTAATATTTTAGGCCTTTTGGACCTATTTTTAGACAGTTTTTTTCCTTTTAATTTTCACAGGCTAAAATTGAGAATTAGGTTGGCAGTGATTGAAAGGCTTAATGTAAATATAAAAATTATTATATGGATCAAAACATGTCCTCTCTGAACTTTTAGATTTGATTGCTGAGGCGGTAGTACAGTCATTACAGAAGAACATCAATCAGTATTTTGGTGATGCTAGTGGTAAAGAACCTGCTTGCCAACACAGGAGACTTAAGAGATGCAAGCTCAATCCCTGGGTCAGGAAGATCACCTGGAGGCGGAAATGGCAACCCACTACTGTATTCTTGCCTGGAAAAATCCCATCGACAGAGGAGCCTGGCAGGTTACTGTCCATAGGATCAGACTTAGTACTTATACATGTGTGGATGGGGCCCATGAAATCTTCCAGGAAGGATGGTTTTGTGAAATCCAGATGGGCTGACCAGACATTAGAACTCCTGATGGGGATGTGCTCCAGAAATGTACCTGTTTTTACACATTGCCTATTTGCTTGGTGTTGGGAGTGGTGGTTGCAAAGGTCCCCACTGTGCTTGTTTAGGCAGTTGTCTATAAGTAAGTAGGTTGTAGGGTGACCAGTTTACAATGGTCCCAACTCCAGGCCCTTTTGGACTCACCTCTGCAAGGTGACCTTGAGGAAGGAGGAAACCAAGACGCCTCGAGTTTGCCCTTCATCTGCCTTGGGGAAGTGCTTGTCTGGCTTCCACTTTCAGGGGCTTGGATTTTTGAGCAGTTTCTCATTTATTCGTTGTCATCCTCAGTCCTTCTGAGCCAGACTGTGCAAGGTTGGGTGCCAGGCACTCTTCCTGCTGTGAAGGAGATGGGGGCATACTCGTCCTTGGTGTCTAGGTGAGGCTACTGCACGTGGTTCCGTGAAACTTGCATAGCCCTACACGCAGGACTGGGTAAAGGATCTCATTCTGCTCCACTGGACCAGCTTTGAGTTCAGAACTGTTCCCATATCCAATCTCTCTCCTATTTTCAGATCCAGAGCTCTGATCTTTTAACTGTTATGTTTTCTTTCACTTGCCAGATATTTTCTGTTTATCCTCTGTTTACCTTTTACATTATCCTTTTACCTTCTTATTACAGGAAATGTGTACACTGGGTTGGGGTAATGGTTTTTAGCTTGGAAACTTCAGGACAAAGACTTTAAAGGAGATTCTAACATGTCTCAAACCAGGACTGGGGAGGGGTGGGGTGGGAGGAATGATCAGTTATAGTCAGGTCTAGGAGCATGGCCAGCCTCTTCTCTGTACCTCAGTTGGCTCCAGTTTAGGATAGTTGTCTTCCTCTAAACGCAATTGTCTAGAACAGAGCAGAGGGCGGCTCTGGAACACTTGAGTTGCATTGTCTTGAGGCCCTTTAAATTGGATTTATGGAGGAACTGTGGAACCTCCTGGCAAAAGGAAACCTACAGTTTCCAACCGCTCAGATGCTCAGCTCAAACATGGAGACACCTTAACTGAACTCAATAGCACTCTTGCTTCAAGCAGAAGTTTAAAAAACTTTGCTGGGGGATGCACTTATCAGTGCAAATTTTCCATTTCAATTAAGTCTTAAATTTTCTGTACAGAGGACATGTATTCCAAGTAGAACATTAATCCTGGGACTTGACCCCTTGAACATAATTTTTGGTGGAGGAGTGCAGTTAATCTGAACAAATCCCAGAGTTTCAAGGTCACCATTGTGTGTTAAGATGTATGTGTATTTTAAAAACAAAAATTTTTTTTTTACCTATGATATTTCTTTTTAAAATATTAATTTGTTTATTTTAATTGGAGGATAATTACTTTACAATCTTGTGATGGTTTTTGCCGTACATCAACATGAATCGGTCACAGGTTTACACTAAAACAGAATTTCTTAGTTTAACTTGGGACCTCTCTCTGTACTGGTCACTCTTTTAGTGAAGGCTGATGATGCCAGAACTTTCTTACTTTATTATCTTTATGTCTTCTCACCCATAAAATGTTCAGCATACATTTAAATTCACTTGTATGCAGAATCACATTGTTATTACTTTTACCTGAGAATTGATTTAGCAAGCGCTGAAGCATTTCTCAATTCCATTGTCATTTTCTCTTAACTCCAAAACCTCAGCAGCTGTCGTCTGTCCCCCCAGAATTGCTGATGACCTCTTTCACCTGGAGCTCTAGGAATCTTGGTACTTCCCCATACCAGCCTACCTTGATGTCTAAGTGGGGGTCCTCCCTTTGTGATCTGTACATTTTGGCTCAAATCTGACATTTCCTCCTTTTGTGGTCTGAACTCCTTTTGGAGAAAATTCTTAGTCTGGCTACTGTTTTGGCTCATACGAAGCTTCCAGGAATTATGCCTTGAGCTCATTGCTCTTGGCTCAGCCATCTTTTTTTTTATACGCAAGGTCCAAATGGTTGGAGGCAGAAGAACAGTGAATAACTTTCACTTGGCTCCGCGCCTGTCAAAAAGATTCTCACATTTCAGGCATCTTTTACTTATTGTTTCCTACCTCGGCATTCTGATCTCTGACTAAAATCTGGCAATGACAGTGAGTGAGGCATGCTTGTTCCACTTCTGACACCAATGGCAGAGTTAAAATGGATTAGAGGTTATCTGTTTGTGCTCCAAACTTCCATAAATTCCTGATTTATTTAACCAGAGATGCAGGATATCATGG